TAAAAATTATAATAAAAGATGTAACTATATTAGTCTTCATCACTGTCTTCATTCACTACGACACTAATTTTTTCATCGATGAACAGGCGACTCAGGATCTCAGCAGGTCTTACAATTTTCACCAAATATCGAGCGTAAGATAAATAATATATGATAGCAGCAATGTGAGAGCAACATCCAACAGTGCGTCTACCATTCGCACAATCACAACAATATCCAGTTATTCCGGAAATATCGTTCTTATCTTGCTGATATTCAATAAAACAACGATATGTCTTCGAATTAATATGTCGAGATCTGACTTCAAACTTTATAATATTAGGTGTAATTTTTAAATAATAGAATCTGATTATTCCGTTTCATCCATCATCTCAGCTAAATACGATACAGCTTGAGACATTTGATATGATCCAGTGAAAAGAATTTTGAGTTCTTGCTCTGATAATTCTGGAAAGTCAGTTAATTGTTCTGAAGTTATTATTGCAAAGGGAACTTCTCTTCTGGCCCAACGATTAGTTTCTATCTCCAAGGCTAAAGTATTCTCTTGATCTTTTTTTGAATTCATGGCAGCTATTATTTTTTCTGTAAGATCAAGATCAGAATCAAGTCTTGTTCCAAATTCATTGTGCAAAAAACAAGCGATTCGACAAAAAACACTAGTTTTTGGAAGCAATTTGTTATCCAGTTTATGATCTAATAGCTTAAACTTCTGTTTAATATTGCTATGTACTGCTTCAACAACCCAACGAATTTTGGTAACGAAACGGGATTTATTCGATTCGTCTGTGGTCAACTGATTGCGTTTTCCTTTGAGAGCAGGCATTAGCACTTTGAACCCTAATTCTTCTAAGTATACAATCACATCACGAAAGCCACGATCAACCACAATAATGTCATCCTTTTTCAGCAATTTAATCAGACCATTAGGGTCATTTAAGATCACTCTCATAATTTCAGCATCGTTCATATTAGCTGTATATGGCCCAAGCATATGTATAACGAAACCATTCGTAGTGCATATCGTGAATGGTTTACACAAAGGAACCTTTTTTTGACCAGAATATGATTTCCTCTGGTATTCGTTATTTGCACTTTTTTCATGACGAATATATGTTCCATCACAAATGAATATCAACTGGTCATCTTCTACTTGATACAATTTTTTAACAGTGTTTGACGTATTAGTGAGTAATGTCTCCCTACTGATAGCATCAATTCCAAAATGCTGAGATAAAACATCTTTTTCAAACGAAGATATAACTTCATCACAGTAGTCAGATACAATTTGTTCCCGAACTAAACCAAAAACGGAAGATATTACTGCATTCGAATTTCCGGTTCGTAATTTGAATAAAAAAATAACAAGAGCTTGAACGATATTACGATTCACTGAGTTTCTCATCGATGTTAACTTTTCACGAAGTTTTATCAATTTTTCCCAGGTAAGACTAGTAAATGCCTCTAACTGTTTTTCTGAAAACGAGTGATCTCCAATTTTATCAATTATGGACGAGTCAATACCAATARCGAGCTRCCCCAGTAATTTTTYCAAATCACGAACTTCAAATACACTGGTGTTCGAATAAATTCGAAAATTGTTAATGTCTTCATCGTAGAACCGCTTTTTTATAAGATGGTCTTTACAACACCGATTTCCTTCGGGAATAAGGAGTTGTCTTTTGAAAAACACTTGTTTGCGTACTTCAAATGGAACAGATTTGATATTTGATGATGATCCACAAATGCAATAGTATTTGTGAGTAGCAACAATTCGAGGAAAATCCAACTCCACAAATTCTAATTCTTCTTCCATTTTTTCTTCAATAACATATGAAGGATCTTCAGTTGACGATACAGATGAAATAGTAGTGGATGAGGATTGAGATGAAATTGGCTGACTTTCGATACTTACTTGATCTGGAGATGAATCCTCAGTGTTCTTAAGTATAGGTGGTCTTGTTAAAATAACTCAACATTTACCACAAAAGGTATCATTAATAAAGACTCTCTTTCCAATTTTTTCTGTCGCAATATTAGCCTCATAAATTGTCATAATAACTTTTTTATATCCAACTGTTTTTCGCAAATATCTGTTACAATTATTGCATTTTTTATCAAAATCCATTCTGAAATAAAGATTTGAATTATGTATTGTGAGGTTTTCAGACAGAGAGAGAAATATAAAACTGAAGATAACTGACTAAGGACTGACTAAGGACAGATACAGACGGACTAACTGAGGGCTGAAGACTAAGGACACTTTCTTACTTCTTTCCACATATTTATATCAGAAATGAGCTACACCCCTTTGGAGAGGGAAGGAGTTTATAAATCTTATTGACCAATAGCATAAGGATCCACCCCATAGTCCACCGATGGGTACAGCCTATAGTTTTTGGTAGTGGAAACAATGCATAAAGAAACTTGATCTGGAACATCGGAATGTTACCTTTTTTATGGTATACCGCATATGCTTACATAGGAATTCGAAATTCTTCAAAGGGTCCCGACACTGCACAAAGGGTTTTTATTGCACCAATATATCCCGATAATTCTTAGGTTTGTTTATGGTTTTATGGCCCTTCTAAACTTTCCCTTCAGTTTCTGAATAGAATTTTCCTTTCCAGAAAATAGAATATAACGAGAAGAGCTGAATACTAGATTTTTTTCCTTCAGTATAGGGAATTGAGAAATATACAGACAGATTCAATGAAAATATTTACTTATTTAAGTGGTTCTAATGCTACAACTGTAAGCAAACAACAAAGCAAAATAAAGAAAACTTTAAAGCGAAACTTTAGAAAAAATGATTGCTGGTTAGTGAAAATCCCGGTATATAGCGTTGAAATGCGTCAGCTCGGAACGTATTAAAAAAAAAAATAGTTTTTACATAATCATTGTGAAACCAAATGATTCAAAATGTTTGATAAGTAATGTTATTGTGTATTTTGAGTAAAAAAATAATTTTTCACATTTTTTTTTAACTGAAAAAAAAAATATAAATTAGTTAAAACTTGGGATTTTAGAAAAAAAATGAGTTTTTAATTTTTTTCATATTGTTCCACCACTTCAAAAAATTCAAAAAAATTCCTGAGTGTAGAGGAGTATAAAAGACATTTTCTGAAAAATTTTGGTGACTGACATATTTCAAAAAAGCTAAAAAAAAAAAATTTAATTTTTTTCGTCCGTCAAAAATCGGCTTTTCGTTAAAATATTATGATAATATATTTTTTTCATGTCTTAGACTCCTAAGAACTAGAAAAAAAAATCATCATTGATTAGCTTTGAATTTTACTATAAAAAAAAATAAAATCGAAAAAACAGGTTTTTTTGAAAATCTCGAGAACCGTTTGAGTAAAAGAGCTAAAATTTGGGGTGAATTATTTTTAGTCGACACCAAATCTATCTCCCAAGTGCTAGTCAAAAAAGCCACGGGGGCAGATTTTTAATACTTATCCGGCTATACCCTTTGAATTGTTAAAATTTCTACTGCATAAAGTGTAAGTACAAATGCTTTTTCATGAAACTTCTATCTCGAAAAATTTCACTTTTTATTTCCTTCTGTTTCTATTTCATATTCAACGCATTCCAATTTTATCAAACTCATTAATTTCATTATATATTGATGATCTCATCATGTTTGAAAAACTTTTATACAAAATGACTTTCTTTACCGATGTGCTTTTCAATAAAATTTTCAAGCATTCGGTTTTGGATGCATTCACCTTTATAAAATAGACTACAAACATGGAAAGACTTTCTCAGTGGGTATCGCAACTTGTAAGTCAAAACACAAACAGATCTACTGACATATATTAAGCCCCACTGGGCCATAGATCTTCTATCAGTGTAATGCTGGCTTTCAGGGTTGCATCTATCCTACGTAGGAGAAAGTAAATTGATCTAGCAGGCTCGTTGCAGTCTTGAGCTACATATAAAGCGCATTTTCTCTTATGTTAGCAAAGATTGGCTATACAGTTACGTGTGCTAAGGTAAACGAATTACCAAGTACATTGTAAACAGATTTCTTCAAAATGGAGTCTTTAAGTGATTGTGTTAAGCTGATAATAAGGAAGATAAAGGATTAAATTAAAATAAGAAATAAAACACGTTTAAGAAGAGATTGTCTGTATAACTAATTTATGTTAATACACACATTACAGGATCTCTATGATCATAGAACAAAAGTTGTTCAATTAATTTCAAGATGTATAATAAACCAAACTTTCTTAAGAAGCTAATTGTGATAACTTTGATCGATGTTGGGTATTTTTAGTATAGTTTAGTAAAGGTAATATGAAAACTAAAATGAGTAAATAAAATGTAAATATAAATCTAAGTTTTATATACGCAGAAATATCTAAATTTTAAAAAATATATAAATATTACTTATAATTTATACTTAAGAAATAAATCAAATAAAATAAGTGTTGGTCTCAAATGGTTTCCACGAGTATATTACCTCTATTAAAAAAATCGTTGAAGAATTTTTAAACTAAAGATAATAATGAAGATTAGGAATCGTTTTAATAAAAAGTACAACTTATTGAAATGCAATAAAATAATGAGATTACATTTAGTTCAATTCTTGATATAGAATTTCCTATTTTTATTTTTTAACTGATACATATTTTCAAAGAATAATCCTATTAGAGGTTATTAGCGTGATAGTTAATGCATTTAGTTTTTAAGGATTAAACTTTTAATTAGAATTTTTTATTAAGTAGTCATTCATTAATTCAGTTACAGATAGTAATTAGCAATAAATTGTATAGTTAATATACTATATCCTATAATATAGTATATTATAATATATTTTGTTGCCATTTTACATAAAAGAAATTTGTTTATTTGTCAACAATTCCTCATTACTTTATAATAGTCCTGAAGATAATATATTAGTTTCTTTTTTTAATCGTAAATTAACAATTCCGAAATCTTATTTATTTAAAGAAAAATAATTGACCTAAAAGTAAAAATTTGTTATTAAACTATCAAAATAATAAAATATCTTTATCATCAAATTTAGTAATTTTTTATTTTTGATAAATCTTTACGGGCATATAAATATAACAATAACAAAGTTTAATTCTTTTGTGTATTAAATATTAAAAAGTTGCTGTAGAAATAAATTTATCGAAGGATAATAAAGAGGGATTAAAGTAATTAATCTCTCATGAATTAGTTCAATCAGCAGTAATCCCGAAAACTCTCTAAGTATACTATCTGTAATACATACATAACTCCATATACTTTCTGGAATTTTCTCATAATACTCTTTTATTAAAGTATACTCACTGATACATTATTTTATTTCTTTTTAAAAAGCATTTACTATCAGTTTAAGCAACTAATACACAGATTCACATGCCCATATAACAATCATAAGTAATAATATGTAGATTCCTTATTCTATATTCGAAAGAAGCGCGTCCTTTTTTCCCAAAGTTTTCCAAAATTTTCCGAAACAGTAATTTTCCGCAGCCTTGCCCTTAACGCCAATTTTTGGAAGTTTTCGTTTTATTACATTACCTTACGAGATAATTAGCAATGATAAAAGTGTCTTGTAATAAAAAATTTATTTTTGGTAAGCCTATCTAAAGTCAATAAATAGAAAATTAGACTTTTTAAAATTTTTTTAAAATCTAGAATTATTAACTGTACAGGTAGGATGCGCACTATTAAACGTAACCACTACCGCTAGCTAGGTATCCCAGACTCTAACCGAAAGAGCAAGAAGAACGATATATAAAAAAATCAGCTGATCTGAAATTATTGTTTTCTCGATATTGTTAGCTCCCGTACTATCGTTACCAAGCGAGTATTTTTGCATTTATTTCTATATATAATATCATCACTTCTCTTTATACATATTAGGAGTTTGATATTCTAACGAACTACCGATATACTGTCCTTCTATGTACAAACGAATCATCGCTAGGCCCATAAATCACTCACCTGGCTTGCAATCAATTCTTGGCTATATTAATTATTTGCTAATCGTAAGAGAGCAACTTAAGCATGAGTGGGCCAGAGAGTACTTATCGGATATAGTTAGGCAAAGGATAAACTATGTAATATAAACAGCCGAATAACGATAGAAAGAGCGTCGCTCAAGGAAGTAAATTAAAGAACAGAAACCAAGAGGCAGTCATCGTTTAGTAGCCGAGCAAAGAAGGCGTTTTATCATCACTTTGTATTTTTACTTCTTTATATTAAATATATTGTATATCCGTGAAGAGAGGTTTTTCTTTCTACATCAACCTATTAATAACACCGCGGAATTCTTTCCTTTTTTTACTTGTTAGATATCCTTTAGGAAGACTAGCAGGAGAAGGAGTATCCCACATTTGTTAACAATAACAAATTTATTGTTTTCGATTAGAATTATAATTGGTATCGTTTTTGGGGAAGCAGGGGGAATAGCGCTCACTGGGTAATGGGGCTCACCTCTGTAACTTTGACAAAATGAAACATAGCAACACGCCGCGTGGCGTGAAGCACGGGGGCGGGGCAGGGTCCTTTAACAGGTAGCGACGCGTACGGGAAGTCAGCTCGCGGCCGGTGACCGTGAAGTGTGTTTCTCCATTTACAGCTGCGCTGATCTAATTTTCGATAAACATAAAACATAAGTTCCTCCCAAACAACATTTACAATGCTGACGAGACTGGTATCACTACGGTGACAGACCCAGGAAAGTTGCTCGCCGAAAAAGGACAAAAAAGAGTCGGATCTGTTACAAGTGGCGAACGGGGAAGCAATAAACCCCATTACCCCTTAGCCTGAGCGGCATTACCCAAAGTCAGGGACAATGGCGCTCAAGCCTGTTTTTTTTTATAATGATTTCCTAATACTTATAAGTCAAAGATAAATACGTTTGGTTTTAAAATGTTGATTACTGAATAGTTAAAAAACTTGTTATTTTTTTAAATTTTAAAGTACCATTAATATTTAAAAAAATACAGCGTATTTTCCTTAAGTGAACGCCATTCCCCCTTCCTACCCTATATGTAAATCCAATTTAGAAACATTTTTAATTTTTTAAATTTTGATAATAAAATATTGAATAAACTGTAAATTTGTTTGTAAAAAAATTAAAAATTTTTAATAGAAAAATTTACATTTAAAATATTTTTTAATAGTATATTCACTATTATAATAACATAATTGTACAAATATATATGCATCTATTTATGTTTAGAATTAAATTGATTAAAGAAATAAATTATTAAAAAAATATCAAAAAGAAGATCACTGTTACAATAAGACTCGGTAATGTTATCGAACGCTTAGTATGTTTTACATAGAAATACTTTTAATACATTATCAGAACATATATTTGTGCAATTAGAAAAAAAAAGAAGAAAAAAAGAGGTTTTGTAAAACATTGAATAGCAAAATAAAAACTGGTGACCTTTTGGTCCTATATTTCTATAAATAATTTAGAATTTATACGTCCTGCGTGAGTTTATTTTTATGTCTTAATTATTTTATTTTAACAGTTAGTATTGCCTTTGGTAAAGATTAGGAACATTTACCATAGAAAAAGTCGTTTAGAGCGAGACTGATATCTTTTAGGGAGTTTGCACTAACCTTACTTTCCTCTATTTCGCTATTTTATTCTTTAATAATTCTACTGTCAAGCTATCTATGTGTTCCCACACACCTTTAACTTTTGGAAACAGAAAATTCAGAATATCTTCAATTTATCTGTTTATCCTATAAAAATGCATTTCATTAAAATCCTCGGATCTTGCCTCATTAAAAATTTCTTATTTAACATAATACATTCCACGTTAAATTTTTAATTTATTTGATTCGTAGGGGGTCTAATATTTTTATTTAACAAAAAACAAATTGTGCGTCACTGGAAAATCCTGTTGAGGTGAATTTAATAAAGCGTCGAAAAATGTTTTAGGTTAGAGTAAATAGTAAAAAGAATCAGTCTCAGTTAATCAAAGAATATATTTCGTGTATTGGTCTTTCGATAAATCTAGTCACTAGATCGTTAAGAAGTCTATTTTTTACAATTTATGAAACAAAATATTGGTATAATTATATTATATAACAAATTCGAATTCGAAAATCAATGAATCTAAAACTAATTTGTAACATCCCGCGCGTGTAACCTTTTATAATTTTAACTAAACGTTCATTAATTATTAAAATAAGTCAAAACTTAATTTTGAATTAATCTACCGTTTGTTAAAAAGTAATAGGCTAGAAATCTTCGTTTTTAGTATTCTGCTTTCTACCTTATTTGAATACTAACCTATTTTCTAATGAAATAACCTTCTATTTTATCTTGTCTATACATGTCCCTTGTGTCCCTTCTGCTCAGAATTTAGTTCACATTCTGAAAATTTAACTTTTAATAAAATATTTAAAAGCATACCGAAAATTAAAAATCTCATATTATGCAGAAGAACGTGACAGAATGTTTAAACAAAATATACGTGTTGCCTCTTACAGTGACCAAACTGCTATATGAATGAGAAATAGCTATTTCAAAGTAATAGATACCTCACAGATCATTTCGTATAGAAGTCAATGTCTGATGTTTTTATTCATTGTTCGCTTAGAAGATTACTGCTAATTACATACTTACAAGTGTAACACTAGAATTGGAGTTGAATTTCTTATTCTAAAAAAAGAAACAATAAGTTCAATGAAATATACTGTGCAAAACGAAAGTAAAAAGCAAAGTAATTAAATTTTAATTAAAGAAAAAAAACTAGTATATATATAAGAATGTAAGTCGAGTTTTTTACTTTGATATTTTGGAAAAATTTGAATTTAGGACCTTTAGACCTAATATAATATATACTGTCTATGTCCCTGATGTCGCTGATTTGTAATTCCTTTTTTTTATTATTTTGAAGTAAGCTTAATAAATTTTCTTTTTTCTTCCCTTGTTCTATCGCAAACAGTTAAATATATTCACTATTTTCAAAAGTATAACAAATATTCTCATTAGCTACTAACATGTGTGTATATTTAAAAAAAATCTAAAAAGTATATTACTAACTGACCACTTCTTAAAAAGTCCAACAAATGCTCAAAGTTAAATATTCTGAATGGTGATATGTTACTGTTAATAGGAAATGCTCTATACATCTCAAAGAGATGTATGTGTGATCGTTAACAATATGGCTAAAGGGATTATCGAATAATCGGATGCATATCAAACAAATAGATTTTACCAAGTTATTCGACAAAGATAAAAAAACAAGAAATCAATATTTCCTGCAGGTTACTAGATATTCTTTATCCATATAAAGGTTGTTTTCGACACTGACCGAGCAAATATTTACGTATCTCTTTGATGTCAAAATCATTTTAACGTGGTAAAAAAAAAACTTGACCAGCTAGATATCTTTTTTGTTCAACTTTTTACAAATATCAAATTGATCACTATTTTTTAAACTTTTATTTTAATCAGACATTTAATATTATTTTATTGGTAATCAATAATATGTATTAATAATTTTTGAAGTGAAAACTTCTTTAGAATGAGAGTGATCTGAAAAAAAATGAATCACGGTCGGTCAGGAAACGGCTCCGATATTTAGCAAGAAGAGAAATAGAGACAAACATATAGGATTGAGCCTGAGTCATATGACTCGGCCATCGGGCCTCTGGAATGCCCGAGCGGCCGGCCCCGTTATCAGCATGAGTAGACTAAACATCCTCCTGGTGCTCGAGTGCGATGGAAGGGCAAGGGAAGGTGCTATCCATCGCTGCCTTCGCGTCAGCGACGATCATTCTCTGTCGGGTTTCTTAATTGTAAAGACGTAAATAAATCGGNGTTTGCATCCATTGTGTTTTCACAAGCATGTGTGTAAATTTTAATAATATTTGCATCCAAATGTTAAATTCAAATTAAAATTCGTTTTTTATCAGCTATCTAATTCAACAAATATTTTATTATTGTTTTTTATAGTTTATTCTACATAACATAGTTCATTACATTATTATATGAATTTTCTATATGAAYAAAAACATGTAGACCAAAAAAGTGTAAAATTATTCCAATTTTATCTTTTTTCTGCCTARGATKGAAAGGTCACCGTAAAGTTGTGCATCGAGAGAAACCGCGCCTGCTGTAATTATGGGCTTCGCAGCTCAGAGCGCTGCAGTTTTCAAGACAGGACAGAAGAAGCGCGATCGCGCCGCTTGGCACTCAAACGGTTGATATCAGTATCGAACCACTTCACTTAATAACTGAGCGTCGACTAGCACAGTAGGTATTGCTACATATTCGTTTCCATTACACACTATTTCACAGAATTTAGTATGAAGTATTACTTCTTTGCTCTCAATTATTTAATCAATTATATAGTATTAGCATCATCTGTCTTATTATCTAAATTATCACTAGTTACTGTGTTAACTCTCTCTGTAAATTCGTGTATATTATTTAAATAAAGCATTTTAAATAAATACTGTGACTTGGCACTGCTAATTTAAACATCATATTTAAAAATAAAAATTAAATTTCGATGAAAAAAAAATACAGTCGCTGGAAGTGGCACTTAGTGCCGGACGGACTTCACTTCGAATTAACGTAAATCGTAAATGTAGTATAAAATTTGTTTATATATGGCTTTCTTATAAAAAAAAAAAAAAAAATATTAGGTTGGTGCGTATGAAATGTCGGATTCTCTTTACATGCGGACGTTTGTCTCCCTGTTTTCGTTATACTTTTGTCTTTGGCATAACCTCATTCATAGTCGTATTGTCCATTGCCAGAGACTCATTTCAGCAAAATAGGTTTTCTCGAAGGTCTTCCCTTTTGTTATTTCTTTTGAGTTTATTGCCGATATGAATTCTGCCGACATTCGCKTMATTTTCTTATATGRRTAYAAACTTGGTAATAGTGCTGCAAAAGCTGCACGCAACATAAACCAAGCGTTTGGGGAGAATACGGTTAACGATCGGAAAGTGCAGCGTTGGTTCGAAAAATTTCGGACTGGCGATTTTTCACTGCAAAATGAGCCGCGCGGAAGACCCAAAACGTTTGTGAAGAATGATGACCTGAAGGCTCTAGTGGAAGCGGATCCAGCCGTATCCACGAGGGAACTTGCTATCAGGATGAAAGTTGACCATACAACGATATTGAGACACCTTTCTGAGATTGGCAAGGTTAAGAAGATGGACAANTTTTTTTTTGTAAGATATTGCAGTCAATACAATTATTATATTCCATATATTTCATAATTGTTAATTATAATATTTGCGAAATAAATAATTTAATACTAATTTTTGAATAAAATAGAAACATTTTTAAATAGAAAAGATATGACACGTTTTGTAAAAAAAAAATTAACTATACTTGCTATTATATTTTCAATATAAATAATACAACTTACTGCAGAAAATTAGAAAAAAAAATAGAAATGAGAAGCAAAATAGATAAGACTTGAACCAACGATCTAACGCTTATGATTCTAGGTCCATACGCGTTACGCTACAACTGCAATTGATAAAGGATTTAAAAAATCGTATATAGGAATAAAAGTAAATCATTAACCCTAATTTTTTCAAAAACAACTGTACCTAGGAAGTTGATGACTATACGCTGTATGTACGATCTGTAACTCTAACGACCAAATATAAATTTATAAAATTTCATAAACGTCTTAAAAATACAAGCTCATGGTTCTTGTGAAATAATATATGTCTACGCTTCGATTCGAGAGGTTAAGGTTGGACGAAACATTAGGTGACAGACTCATATGGTGTTGCTTTAAAAACTAAACACATGTGTTCCCGTCTAGAGAAATGATCTCT